ATCCTCTTCGAGGCACGAGAATCTCGAGGAACCTCAGAGCTCTCATGTCGAAACTTGGTACGTAATTCAGTTCCTTGAGTCGGTTGAGGTTGAACCTCAGAAGGAGCAGTAAGCCGAGATCTTTTCCTGTTAATAAGCGGGGCAACCTCTTCTTCCTCTTCTTCTGCCTCTCCCTCCTGAGAAAGCCATCTCAAGGTCATCTTGTTGGAGGACGACAGGGGAATGTTCTTTTCCTTCATTTGTATACCTTTTGAAGGAGCACCGGGTAATTTGGGCGAAGAAGCTCGACGAGTCCTGTGAGCCACGGGAGACAAAGGTACATCATCCTTTGCGTCGCCTTGGGTCTCATCCTCCTCGCTGGATGTCTCGAAGTCGTCGCTCTCTTCGGAATCAGCTACCTGTTTTCCTTTACGAGAAGACATAGCGGGCTCCTTTCCTTTTTTGGATATAAACCTCCGAACTACAGCCTCGGATTCCAGTTCGTGGAGCTTCTTCTTCGCAAGAGGAGTATTGGCGGCTAAAATCCACCGGCAGTAGAGGAAGGTTAAGTAAAGACCAGGTTCAGCGACAGGTAGACTAAATTGAGCTCCGGTACAGCCGGCAACATTCCAGAACCAGGCTCGTACTCCATCAATGAGGCTCCCGCAGGTTATCAACCATTTGTTAGGATTCCCGACGTACAGTTGATCGTAGCCGAATTGTCGCGCAAAACGACAAGGAAAGTAAGGCTCGATCCTGCAAAGGTTCTTCGACCGGAAGACATTATAGCCTGGGCGAATGTTCATGAGCCAGTGGAAACTACCCATGTCGAGAGAGGTCCTGTCAGCCCCAGGCATCTCCTCGTCAACAAGAGTGTCATTATAGGTGTAGGCATATAAAATTGCTTATAGGTCCCTTAGCTCAACTCGGCACAAACCGACGAACCAACGAGGTGACGAGATCGACGAATCGCATCAAGCGACGGAATGCATCCATACACGTGCGGGATCAAGCCAAGTGTTCGAAGAGTCAACGAGTCATCCAACCAAAGGCATACTCGGACGAATGACGATCGAATCAGAAAGCAACGAATTTTCCCGCGAACAATCTGGCCGAGCCACCTCAAGGTGGCTCGGCCCAGAGCCGAGCCACCCTGAGGTGGCCGGCCCAGATCTGTGCCTAGGCACAGATCTGAGTGCCTATAAATAGGCTAGGCCTTGGTTCATTTTTGAGGGTTGGAAATTTTGGAGAGGCGAAGCCCTGCTGGATTGGAGACTCGGAACTTAAAAAAGATTGAAACTTTGGGACTTCGGGGACTCACTCCTTCAGATCTGGTGCTCGGCGATCATCAACGTCAAATAAGGCAGGTGTTCGAGAGGACCGGATCTCAGATCTACGCATACGTACTCCGGATCTAAGCTTGGTCTTAGATCCCGAGACTTGGACGATTGTTTCCTTGGTGAAACAATCCTCCCCGGCTATTATTTCCTTGGTGAAATAATACCCGTTATACTGCGTAGATCCGACCGGATCTAGATCGCGCGGTGGTCCACGGCAAACAACCCCGGCGCAGGCAAAGAACCCACAAAGCGAGCGACCGCAAAACAGGAGCTCGCGATTCGTTCTACAAATAAGGAAACAAAGTTGTAATTTTTTCATTTCTTTTTATTTGATTTTCATTGTAACCGGATCTTATAAAAAGACCGGATCTTTGTAATCGATAAACTGTTACAAGAGTGTACAATGGAATCAATAACAAAGAAAGCAACGGATTTCCCCGCGAACAATAGGCACCAGAAAACTGAGGGAAACACTTGTAGAATTCCCAGCAGTTGGCATTCTTGAACTGCCTCACCCGGTCAGCCCACGGTCGGGAAGGATATAACCACTTACATCCCTCTAAGAGCTGCAACAAGGGGATGTCTGGATCAGACGCGTCAGGTGCTGACATCATATCCGCTCGATGGAGAACTAGCCACGCCATTAAATATGTGTACGGCAGTTCGACACTCGACAATGGAATTTTAATTGAAGGCTCGGCACCCACTTTGGTAAAAGTGGTAGCTAGGTTACGCAAACCGCTATGGAGGTCAGCAATCATAGCGGAGAGTAAGGATAACCTACCTCCAACGGATAGTTGCACGGCGGGAAGAAGAACCTCAAGAGGAAGCGCCTCGGAAGACTGATGCGGCACTACACATTTCTTTAGCCATATGGCCAGATAACCAGAAAGAAGAGTCGCAGGCTTCATTCTCTTGGTGGCTTGCCATAAGAAAGTGCTGAATTTGGTGCCCTTAAGAAAACCACCTTCAGATGACTCAGTTCTATAAGACTGGGCATTAATCTTCGTAATCAGCCTGTTAACGTCCGAAGGGGTCAGAATCGGTGATTCGCAGACAGCTTCACCGGTCGGGCTCTCGAGATTCTAAAACAAATAGTCAGCGAACTGTTTTAAACTGACTCGAGCTGCCTTCTTACTTTTTACTTCAATTTTGGCTATCGCTATTTGATAGTGACAAGTTAATTCCCAGAGTATGTCATAAGCAGGAGAGCCAGCCTTCTTCATCTTCATGAGCTGACGATTGTTGGGAAAATATTCTTGATAAGGAGTGTTCCCCAATGGCAGTCCAGATACTTGCATCATTTCGTGGAGCGGAAGCCCTAACTCCCCATACTTGGTAAGAAATGTATTGGCCTCCGGAATATAAGACTCAAACAAAGCAAGGAAATGATCTACGCTGACTGGAAGACCATGCATGCTGGCTCGGATCGGAGCATATAACCCCAAATTCCTTAACTCTTGATCCCAACGATTGAGTACATACTTGGTCATCCTAGCCCACCATTTGTCGGGAAGAGAATGAACCCATCCATAACACCTGAATTTTGGAATGGGAAGTTCTCGACCAACTCGAGCGAGCTTATTCTTTACCGTGTTGGCCCTTATCATCAGTTCATTCTGGGGCCCGCCATCTGGTCCAAATAGCCCCGGGTGAAGACCACGAATATTATACCTACCTATGGAGCCAGGAGCACTAATATCTTTACTAATGTATCCGCAATGAACGCGCTCGTGGTCTTCTGTCAAGTGCCACGTCATTTCTCTCGAAACAGCCAAATTCCTCAATTGCAGAAGGGAATACTGTCGAGGAAATGGAGGAAGGAATAGAAAAGAACCTTCATACTCATTCAACCAAATTTCAGGGCCACGACAGAGATTGTCTGGATCTTCTATCGAATCGCCAAACAGATAATCAAGTTTCTTTAACAGTTCGGTAGAATCCCGAGTTGAAGTCAAAGGAGAATCAGTCAACAGAGCGCGTAGGGTACGACGACCTCCCTCACGAACCAACTCTGGAACACTATTATCACGATCTTCACTAAATTGGCGAGCCTCTCTAACCAGAAAGTCGCCGTTGAAAGAAGCGTGAAGAGTACCACTCTGACCCGGGTCTTCTCTCTCAGAGAAGGCCACAGAGGGAAAGGGGACTTGAACAAAAAGGCTAACAGACGAGAAAACCCGCACTAAGCAGCCGCGACAGACGTGGCCGTCGCGCGTTACCGCGGCAGCATACACTGTCGCGTTCAGGCGCGACGGCACGAGCTGCCGCGGTAACTGAGCAGCGGCCTTTGATGTTGAAAAGACACGAGTTCGATGAAAACGCGCATCTTAACTGTGGTACATGCCTCGATTGAACAAGGTATGTGTTTCGAAGCGTCAATCCCCTCAATGGGGGATGTCAACTCTTCCCGAATGCCTCTCAATGGAGACAAACGAGGCTAGATGCACAAGATCTATAACCTCAGATAAAGAGAAGTGGAAGAAACTTACCCCCAAAGGAAGGAACTGCAGCCTCGACATCCCCAGGTGCTGGTGCCGCTGATTTTCCCTTCGAACCACGAGTCTTCTTTGGAGACATAATGAGACCGACCTAAAGAATTAAAAAAAAATGGTTTTTGTGAGATCCCAAACAAAAGAACGGAATCGGGCCATAAAGCATAAGATGCAGGGGCGATTTTTACCTGGGATTAGAAGAAATCAAGTTAAGAAGAGATCAAAATCAACGAGGAGTCAAAACCCTAGATCTCAAGAAAACCCTAGCACCCGAATAGGAAGAGTTGAAAGGGGGGAAAGCCAGAAAAATCCCTTTATAGGGTTTTGGGGGACGTTTCGAACTCAAAGAAGCGGGGAAAATGACCCGAAAAAGGCCCAACAGCGTCTTATAACCCGACTGGCTGAGGCGCTGCGCGGCATTCGATGCTGTCGCGCTCGAGCGCGGCAGTCTATGCTGCCGCGCTCAAGCGCGACAGTATAAGCTGCCGCGGCAGCTAACCCACCAAGATCCACTTCGACATACAGAAACATGGTGCATACACGATAATTCTTCGGTGTTTGAACACATACATCTCCCTCTGTATTTGGAATACATTCTCGGACACTCCGATGAGTATATGAGTATAAACTGCATCTCCTTGAACCTCCCAACGGGTATATGAGGTTAAACTATTTCCCGAACACTCCGAGGAGTATATGAGTATAAATTGCATCTCTTTGAACCTCCCAACGGGTATATGAGGTTAAACTATTCCCTGAACACTCCGATGAGTATATGAGTATAAACTGCATCTCCTTGAACCTCCCAACGGGTATATGAGGTTAAACTATTCCCTGAACACTCCAATAGAGTATATGAGTATAAACTATTTCCCCAATTTTCAACAACGGTTCTGATTCAAGACTTCGACAACGGTCACGCGATAAACGCAACACCGGAGGAATCTTAGCTATTCTACAAAGCACTGAATAAGCTAAAAGATGAAGAGGTCAAGAATTGAAGCCATTCGCGGACCATTCTACGCAACTTCCCCAACGAAGCACTGGAGAAATTGCAAGAAAAGCTTATCATATCCAAAGTGTCCCAGACTCCTCTCAAAAAATAATGAGTCTGAGATACTTTGGAGGGGGTATCTGTAGGCGTTAAAAAAATGCTTACAGACATACAAGTACCACTCGAAATAACATGGAGGAACAATATACACATCGTCAGGCAACACAACGCAGCGCGGCAGGACAAGGTGCCGCGGCTAAGGCGCGGCAGTCCAGGGTGCCGCGGCCAAGGCGCGGCAGCCAATGGTGCCGCGGCCAAGGCGCGGCAGTCCAAGGTGCCGCGGCTAAGGCGCGGCA